TGCTAAAGATGCATTTTGAACCTTAGAGTGCTTTGACTGATTCCAGAATCACAGCCATGCCACGTGCAACCCATGCCGTGGCCCGGAATCGTGGCTGCTCAGGAATACTGAATCCCTGGTTAGGCCAGAGTACCATGGGGTCATGGGGGCTTTGCTCTGATTTAACTGAATAGTGGAGGAAATGAAGTGACGGCTTTATTATGTTGGTGCTCTCCTTTATGAGACTCAGAAGCAGAAATAAAAGAGCCGGAGGTCCTAACGGGGCCGCCACCACATCTCGGTGTTATTCCTGGTATTGTAATAGACCCCTGTGTGGTCCGCGAAGAGGTAGGAAAGCGAAGCCTGTTAGCGAGAGCGTTGGTTGTAATCTATGTTTTTGATTATCGATGACAGGATCCTAAAATTACACCCAAATATCTCTTACCGGTTCTGAAATTGAGTTTCTGAAAAAGCACCGCGGAAGTAATAGGAGGTAAAGTGCAGAGTTCCCAGAGAAATGAGCTGCGAATTGAGCCTGCAATGGAAATTGATCCTATCAGTCAGCTTCTGCCCTTATTCTGAGAGAAGGGGGATGAGGGAGCCGGAGGAGGGTGGCTGATTAAATAGGAGACTAAGAGCTGGAGGCTAGAACTGGGCTTGTTGGTCCCTCGGGTCAAGAACGTAACTGTCAGGCTTCTCTGCTGGAAGCCTGGCTCAATCTGGCAGAAAGGGAAGGAAATGAAAAAATGCCCTGGGCCAGAGTGGGCGTCACTGGAGTTTCCAGACTAAGTTTGCTGCAGTGGCTGCCTTGGTGCTCCCCAGGGGCGATATTCTAGCCAGTGATCTCAAGGTAGACCAGTTGGCCTCATGATTCACACCAATGGAGCTTATCCTGATGCCCCCTCTCAAGAAGTCAGGGTTTGTCGGTGTGTCCTGAGGGTGTGGGGAATGCAACGAGAAATGGGCTCGGAATCAATTCCCATTCTCAGCCCCGTCTTTGGGATCCGTGAGGAATGAGGAGCAAATACCCAGTAACTACTAGTCTTGTGTATATAGTTTATTGGCCTGTTACCTAACGAGAGGAGGTCTATATTGCTCCCATAGCACGGCACTAATGGCATGCTGGGGGAACTTGGTGGGCGAGGGTGATGTGCGTATTGTACTCTCAGGGATGCAGTGTATGTTCCAATTAGCCCTGCCTAGGCCCCACATTTCTGGCTATGGAGTTGCTCCTGTGTGATCAGTTTCTACTACGATGCCCTTCAGAGTCTTGAGTGATCATCAGTGTAACTCACTGGCATCCGTGTCCCCCTGGAATGGCGTGTTCACAGTCTGCAAATATTTCTGCAGAAACTTTGGAGCTGAAGCTATCATAAAAGGCTCACTTAAGATGACGCAAGCCTTTTAGAGCCATGGCTGTTTCAGATGAAAGTTGGCAGACTGGAAGACGAAAAGAGAAAGAAGGTTCCTTGGGATGAATTGTGAAAGGCTTAGCCACTGGGCTTGATGCAGCCACAGTATCTTGAAAGAGAGACAGCTGTCACAGGTACATGGCAGCACAGGGGATACCTTACATTCTGGGGTGTAGCATGATTAATGAAAACCCAGAGACTGGTACTGGGGTTTCAACCTGAAGGTCAGAAAGGCAAAGCAGCCAGCCACTGGCTCGTACCTCTACCTCAGTCCAAAATGGTGATCCTGCCTCCGGGAATCTTCAGTATGAGACTGACTGAGAGCTGTCTCCTCCCATTTTTTATTCCTCTCTAGAGCTGGGATTAAAGGCGTGCACCACTACCACCCAGTTTCTATGGCAAATTAGTGTGACTACTGGGATTAAAGGTGTGTGTCACCATTGCCTGGTCTCTAAGACTGACCAGTGGGGCTGTTGTACTCTCTAAACTTCAGGCAAGCTTTATTTATTAAAATACAAATGAAATATTGCTACCCTTGGGGTGTAGCTGTCTTTTAACATTCATTGTTCATGTTTGGATTGATTTTTTTTTTATTTTTTGTTTTTTGAGATTGCCGTCAGAACCTCAAATGTATATGCTTGACTCCACTCGCAGGTGCTGCCTTGTTAGTATTTTGTTTGGTTGGCTGTTGTTTGGGTTTTTTGGTTTTTTTTGTTTTGTTTTGTTTTTGTTTTTGTCAGATTAACTACAATGCTCACTTAACTTTGCCTCTGGGCCCTAGCAAGAGAAAACAGGAAAGTATCCAGCCAGCAGTAGACCATGCCGTCATTAATTTGTTGATTCAAATTCTGTATCCAGCTTTTAACAAGTAGGACAAGTGGCCAGGAATTAGAGTCAAAATGACTTTTATAATGAGGCCCTGTTGATTTGATCCATAGCTACCTCTGTTGGCACTGACCTTGCCACATTGTTATCAATGTTTCTGTAGGGACAACAGAGCTGCTTACCTTTGACAGAAGCCTACAGAGAATGCCCAAGGAAATAGATGTGTCATGACTTCTGATAGACTTGCCCCTCCTTAAGCTGAAACGTCACTGAATCCATCCAGCCTGCTAAGCACATACGTTAGCAACAGCATCTTATGGAGTTTTTGTGGGATCCCATTCTGGTCACTGAGCTGACTGGGAGCTTGGCTTGGTTGTTCTGCAGGTACCCTAGGAAAGGACTAAAATTCCAAATGCAGTTTCTTTGTGTCTGCTTTTGTTTCAATGTGAAATTAAAAAAAAAATTGTAAGAGCAGAGTTCTTTTTAAAAACATTTTATTGGGTTTTTTGTTTTATTTATTTATTTATTTTTAGGATTTCATGCCAGGCATTCTGTGTTTTGATCAAATTGACTCCTTCCTCCAACTCCTTTCAGATCCACTCCTACCCCCCACGTCCTCCCTACTTCATATCCTCTTTTCTGTTATTTTTAAATAGCAATAACAGTATTTTAATAACTGAAGCCCATCTTTTTTTCTCCTTTACTTCTAGGTGTTGGTCCTCTCTGGACTGTGGTAGAGACATCCCTAGTCAGGGACAGTCCATTCTGTGTAGATGCTTGTGTACAGTGGCTTTGCAAATGATTAATCTAGAACTTGAGGATGCTAGACAGACCCTGCTTCTGCATCCAGAAATTGGGACAACACGCCTATCAGCTGTTAACTATGGCTCTCATGACAGTATGGTTTTACGTACTTGGTCATGGAGATGTTCGATTTCTGCCAGTGTACCTGTTTCCTCGGCAGATGAATGATGGAAGAGGGTCATCTGTCTATTGGTTAATAAAGAAACTGCCTTGGCCCTTTAATAGGACAGAAAATTAGGTAGGCGGAGTAGACAGAACAGAATACTGGGAGGAAGAAGCCGAGTCAGTCAGTAACCATAGCTCTCGTCTCCAAGATGGACGCAGGTTAAGATCCTTCCCGGTAAGGCACCACCTCGTGGTGCTACACATATTATTAGAAATGGGTTAATCAAGATGTGAGAATTAGCCAGTAAGAGGCTGAAACTAATGGGCCAACCAGTGTTTAAAAGAATACAGTTTCCATGTAATTATTTCCGGTAAAGCTAGCCAAGTGGTGGGAAGCGACCCGCCGCTCCTATTTCTACAGATGAATGAAAAGCTTGAGACTTCATTTTGCCTTGGAGGAATTCCCAAGGGTGCTAACAAAGAAAAAAGAAGCATGCTTTCTGTGAGAACTTCACCACAGACCGACAAACACACTTAACTTTGTAGTCTCGAGGCTTTGTGCAAGCATGTATTTTCTTGGGAAAGGCATAGCATACGCTGTGTATAATAGTTTTCCATTGAAGGCAAGCTAGAACGACACTGCTTGCCTGATGTCTGGACAGTCAGTCAGTTAGTGCAGTGATGAAAACCTTGGGGAAACACGTTAGGACTGTCCTGTGGAGATGTGATTCTGTAGGAAGACGATGGAGGGATGCCTCCTGATCTGTAAGAGATGTTGGCTTTCCTGAAAGTTTTCATAAACATTTGAGTAATGAAACATTACATAAAGCGCAGCATTTCCGTTACATAATAAAACGTTGCCAACCTGGAAGAAGCCTTAGTGTTATTGCTAAGCACCGTATTCATGATATTTTCCGAATGTCTGTAATTTTAAAAAGTTGCTTTATAAGTCCCCTGATTTAAATTAAAAAAATAGTTCATCCATAAGGAATATTCCATAAGAATGCCACTCGGTATTACCAGAGGCCATGTTGGTCTTCTTGTGCTTGGTCCCTAAGTTCCGTCGAGAAAGCATCATGAGCTCGCTGTTAGAAACAGATGCACCGGAGGCAGAAGCCCATGGAAGTTAAAAGCAATCTGCAGACATAAGGCAGACACATTTCTGGTTTGCTCCGGCGAGGATGGTTTTGTCGCATATAGCTGAAAAGGAGACTGTGCACTGGCCTCTTCTGCCGCAGGTTGGGAAGTAAAAGGGGAGTTGTCTTCCTTGCACCCCATCACAACACGAAACACATGGGATTGCTGTTGTACATCGCAGTCTTCCATCGCGTTGAGAAAGCATTACTATCGCAGCGCCGTTTCCTCGTCCCATCAGAATCTTAGCGCCACAGTCCCGCCTTGACTCGGCCACAGGACCAAGATTTATGCTTTGGGAATGGAAGCATCCAGTCCACAGAATTGTTTTAAGTGCCTGGTGAATCCTAACTATCGTTTCTTAAGTTTCTGTTTTCTTTATCAATTGTCATTCTCTTGAATTCACTATGGCAACCACGCTTAAAGGAAAATAAAATTTGAAATTATCAATGAACCGTGGCTGCAGCAGATTCTAGCTTGGCAGAGCATTCTAGCTTGGTCTTTGCCCAGCCCTGAAAGGGCCACCCTTGCAACATGGCAGGGCCCATAGTATGTTCAGTAATGGGTATATGGTTTGTCTTAGTGCCATCATTTCCAAAGCAAGCTTACTCTTTTTCTGTATATTTTAACTCATATTATTCAAAACTCACATATTTCTTGCATGTGTTTAGAGTTTCTAGGTTGCACAGGCTCCACCTTATTAATTCTTTTCCCGTGTGTTTTTCTTCTTTTTCAAACTAGATCCCATGCGTGGCCCGAGAAATCTGGAAGTTGTCGAAGTCAAGTCTCGGCAAATCACCATCCGCTGGGAGCCATTTGGATACAACGTAACCCGTTGCCATAGTTACAACCTCACGGTACACTACTGTTACCAGGTGGGAGGACAGGAGCAGGTGCGAGAGGAAGTGAGCTGGGATACGGATAACTCCCACCCCCAGCATACCATCACCAACCTGTCCCCGTACACCAACGTCAGCGTCAAGCTCATCCTCATGAACCCCGAGGGCCGCAAGGAGAGTCAGGAACTCATCGTGCAGACGGACGAAGACCGTGAGTGCTTTCAAGTGATAGGTCTATGTGGAATGCGTCCTTTCAGAACGACTTCCGTGTCTTTGAATTTAGAGCTTTATGTTGAAAACAAGGTGGAAGGAAGGACTGCTTCATGGAGTCTAGTATGTCATGTGCCCTCACTCTGAAGCACTGATTAGAAGAAACAGAGGGAGGCTTATCGTTTTTATATCGTTCTGTTTCGCACAATATCACACATGCATACAATTCTCATCCCCCACATCCCTGTCACCCTGTCCACCCTCCCCTGTCTCTCACAGTTCTCTCCCTTACATCTATCTTAGTTTGTTTTGTTCCATGACACACTGAGATTTAACCAGGACAATCTGTGTGACCTTGTGTGTAGACCATTAGAGTCTGGTGGGCTCAGCTCTGGACACACAACCAAAGACAGCAATTTCCCCCTCTACAAGAGTCTTTCATTCTGATAGTATGTACAACCCTATGACCCTTCTGCCTTCTTTGACTAATTATTGATAGAGCTGGTCCTGTGTGGTTTTGTGTGGGTCTGGTATAGACAACTACAACTGTGAGTTAATAGTTGCAGTGGCTATGTGTAGTAAGTAGGAGCTGCGTTGGGCTGCGTTCCTGCCCAGCTCCGCACGTCTAGTTTTACCTGAAATAATTATACGGAAACTGTATTCTTTTGAACACTGCCTGGCCCATTAGTTCCAGCCTCTTATTGGCTAACTCTCACATCTCATTAACCCATTTTTAATCTGTGTAGCCCCACGAGGTGTGGCTTACCAGGAAAGATCTTAACCTGCGTCTGTGTCGGGTGGGAGAATCATGGCGACTGACTCGGCTTCTGTCTCCCAGCATTCTGTTCTGTCTACTCCGCCCATCTAAGCTGCTGTCCTATCAAAAGGTCCAAGGCATTTTCTTTATTAACCAATGACCTTCCTCCATCAGCTGTGTGAGTCAGGAGGATGCTATTGTGTGACCCCCCCCTCACCCTATCGTTCACCTCACACACTTCCTGACCCCTTCTGGAATCTTCCTCGAGTTTCAGAGGAGGTGGCATGAGTTTCTATTTAGGGCTGGGCCCAGAGCAAATGCTTGCTCTCCAGAGCTTACCAGTCATGTGGCATTTATCTCTATGGATAAATATAGTATTTTCTATAGTATTCTCAGCAGTTCTTGACATTTTTATTACCACGTTGGAAGGAGAAGTTAACGAGCTTTTCTCTTACCTCGGTTCCACAGCCTGCTCTCCGACCATTTTTACATGACATTTGTTCTCATCCTTCCAGTCAGTGGCCGCACAGACACATAACAGGAGTCCCACCTGTAAGCACCTATGATCACGTGACTTCCGAGGGCCTCCCTGACTTCTGGCTCTTTCCACCCCTTTTCTTCAGTGTTCTTGAACTGTAGAGAGGGTGCGATAAGTCTCTCGTTTATATGTCGTAACATATTATATATTTTCCTTCATTTTTGTGTAAACCATCTTTACAAGTAAACCATCGTTTTCCATCTGTAGCAATACGCATGTCCCAGAAGAGAGGTGATAAAGCATCCAAAACTGCAGAGTCAGCCCTTGGCATGATATCAGAGAGTGTTAGTGGTAAACGGGTGATTCCTGCTTTAAGGAGTCCTGTTGTTGAGTCAACAGGAAATGGTGCGGCCAGTTGGTCTGTTTCACCAACTAGATCTGACTGGCAGGGATGAGGACACGCCCAACTGCATTGGAGTTTCAGTGAGAACTAAGTTGGGAATTCCTTGGACTCCTGTCAGAACGTCAGACTTGCAAATTTGGAATGTTTGTTTGTTTAAATCATCTTACTAGTCTCAGGAATTCAGCCTTGTGGTATTTGCAAATTAAAAACCTATTGTTTAGTAGCTCGGCGGCAGGCCGCTAATTAGAAAAGAACTATTATTGCAAATTACATTTTCTCAATAACCAGCCACACAAAAACCTACTTCAAAGAAGATGGGGGGGGGGGGAAGACAAATAGAACAATTGTCAGACAATACCAAGTCTGAAGAGGAAAGCAACAGCTCTTGTGACTCTAGTTTATCCAACGTCACTTGGTTCTGGAATCACATGTTCACCGAAATGGTTTCATCAGGAATGTATGGAATTTTTTTGGGGTTGATCCCATTAGAAATATAGGTGTTATCGTTACTTCCCTAAAATCCTGACTCCTAGAACATCTAAAAGAAAGTCTTTAACCTAAGTTCATGGGACGTTTTATTTTTTTTAATATTTATTTATTTATTATGTATACAATATTCTGTCTACATGTATGCCTGCAGGCAGAAGGCACCAGACCTCATTACAGAGGTTTGTGAGCCACCATGTGGTTGCTGGGAATTGAACTCAGGACCTTTGGAAGAGCATTAGTCAGTCTTCTGGATTAGAAAAGCAAAGCAAAACAAAACAAAAATACCCAAACCAACTCTGTTTTTTCTGTTCTAAGCCTTAACTTTTTTTTCTTGATGAGTCCACTTAAAGAATTTCTTTTTATTACTTCATTTATTTATTTTTGCAAGTATCTTTGAGACTCTATGCGCGGACTCACGTATGCCACAGTGTGCATGTGGCTTTCAGATGAAAACTGGGAGGCGCTGGTTCTGTTGTTCTTCTGCATAAGGCCCGGGTGTGGCGCTCAGGCCACCAGCTTGGTGGAAGTCGCTTTCATCCACCGAGTCTCTTTCCAGCCTCACTGCAGCAATTCTGCACAACATCATCAGTTACCCTATCCCTTCTAAGACATTTTCAAAGTTTGCTTTTTTTTTTTTCAAATCAAGTTGACCTTCAAATCAACATACTTTGAATATATCCCATTCAAAGTTAGGTTGGTTTCTTCTGTGTCCTTTCTTCATTCTTGAACCTGCATAACTATTTTCAAATATAATAAAGCATCCACCCATTCAGCGATGCTGATGCTGAGAAAAGGGTGATGTCATAGGAAACACTCTGGAGGCAAACAAGACAGGATTGGTAGCATCCTCTCAGACCTGAACCAGCTGCAGCCCGGTTCACCTTCTGGTTGTGATGAGCGTTCTGGGCCCAGAGTCTAGAATTATACTTCCTGGGAACTTGCCAGTATCTCTACTTCTTAACACTGTGTGTTCCTTTGTTTCGACAGAAGGTTTTATTGATTTCTTCAGCCCAGAATGAATGATTACTTCCATATTATATATTATTCAGATGCTATACATTAGAAATTGACTTGAATCCAACATCATTTTAGAAATGAAGCAAGTGAGATCCAAGCAGGAGCAGCAGCTGTCTAAGCTGCATATTTGCAATTATTGGAGAGTCTTAAATAGCAGCCATCCCATCCCGTGTACATCAGTAAAGAGCTTTTCTGTTGAATACCTGGCTCCATTTGGATAAAATACAAAAGCTCTCACTCTACCAATAAGCCTGCCTTCAAAAATAAAAACAAGTTCAAAATTTGAAATCCTTCACTTCCTTTAGAAATTCCAGGCACCCGTCCAGTTCGAGACAGACGTGGTGACAATTAAAAGGCTATTCATATCCTCACACAGCCTAAAATCTCCAGCCTCCTTTTGAAAATCTTTATTGAAATGTTGATCAATGCATGAGTTGAGGAACACTGGGGGACTTCCAGTTATGAATAATGCTGCTGCGAATATTTTATACAGTCTTCTGAGCTGGCCTGTTCTCAGTTATCTTGAGTAATCAGTAGATATACTAGATGATGGATGGATGCATGGATGGATGCATGGATGGATGGATGGATGGATGGATGGATGGATGGATGGATGGATGGATGGAACAAATGAAGGATGGATAGGTAAATAGACAGATAGATGATAGATAGATAGATAGATAGATAGATAGATAGATAGATAGATAGACAGATGATAGATAGATGATAGATAGACAGATGATAGACAGATGATAGATAGATGATAGATAGATAGATGATAGACAGATGATAGATGATAGATAGATGATAGATAGACAGATGATAGACAGTTGATAGATAGATAGATAGATAAGACAGATGATAGATGATTGATTGATAGATAGATAGATGATAGATAGATAGATAGATAGATAGATAGATAGATAGATAGATAGTGGAAAAGCTGGGTCACATTGTGTATCTTTGTATACTGACTAATTTGAAGAACTGTCATGTGATTGCCAAAGTTACTGTATGATTTCACATTTACCCAGTACTGCATTTGGGTTAGAATGTGGTTTTGATTGGCAGTTTTCAGCCAGCGAATGATACTGAGGATCTTTTCGTGTGTAACTCTGGCTGGTTTAAAATCTTCTATTTTCCTTCCTCATCCTGTCCAGTGCTTGGCTTACAGGTCTGTGTCAACATTCTTCTTCTTTACTTCTTTGCAAGATCGCACAACCACCCACCATTCTGACAAGCACTACTTGGAAACCCTCATGACCTCCTTCCTTACTACTGGAAAACAGTTTCTACAAAGGAAAATACTGAGTTTCATGTAATTGGCTTACTTAAACCTTATAGGGAAAAAATAATTAGATCATTTTACAAGGACAGTGTAGTTAAAATGGCTTTAGATTCCAGATGGTGAAGGGAAATGCAAATGTTATCTATAGACCGTTAGGGTCCACAGCCTCTGTTAACAGTGAAGATCTTCTTGGGGGAGTTGATGTGTGACCCACACGTTCATCTCTCATGTCCTCTTTAGTCCCAGGTGCTGTCCCCACTGAATCCATCCAAGGAAGTACTTTTGAGGAGAAGATATTTCTTCAGTGGAGGGAGCCGACACAAACATACGGTGTCATCACTTTATATGAGGTACTTACATATCTGTTGGTAATTTCCTTTTTAAGTGTAATGTCTTGTGATGATGTGAGCTCTCTGGCATTTTAAAAATATAATTTCATCTTTCTTTGAGGAGTTTGATGTTTTCTATAGTCATAATGATTGTTATATAGAAACAAAAGATTCAAAATGAGCTTTTCAACTATGTGTAATTTCAAGATTCATTTTTAAAATAAGTTGGATCGTGGTGTATTGTGTGTTGTATATTAAGACACAGCATAGCATTTTTAAAAGTCACTTTTATTAAAAGTAATAAATATTTTGAAACCTGCATTGATTAGGAAGCAATCAGTGAGTCACTTTATTTCCTAGCTATGAACTATTTATCCATTGATTGTAAAACAACACTGATTATCCAATTAGAAAAGTCAGTAAAGAATTGTCGCCATAGTAACCATAGAATAATCTTTTGGGGATTCCTTCAGATCAGTGTACATCCCTTAGACTTCTTTGACACCATTTTTTGTCTGCCGAGGCAAATCAAATAGTTGAGTGATGGTGGCAAGAGAAGAATTTGATAAATTGTTCTTGAAAAAAATAATCGCAGTAATGGGATGACAGCCATCTTCACGTCACTGTGATCATCGTTTCATTGTGCCTGTTGTCATAGAAACATGCAGGTGCTTTTTTTTTTTAGCTAACATTTGTTTGAATGCAAATTCAACAAAATTATATATTGCAAGATTTCTAAAAATTCTGGCCCATCTGCATACGGCTCTGCCTGAGCACCTCTCAGCAACACTGACAGGAGCCCAAGCCCTGTCAGGAGCTGTCAGTCACGATCCCCACCAGCCCACTCTCTGACCCCATCGACTCACGCTGATGCTTCCCACTTCTTCCAAAAATTGGTATGGAAGTGCAAAACCAGTAATAACACTAATGATAATAATAATAATCATTGAAATCAAAGTGGAGGAAGCTAAGCGAAAATGTGTTGCTTTTAGTGCCTGATTTATTATGGAAACATCAAGCTATGGAAAGCCGTGGCTCAGCTTCTATGGAGGTGTTTCATGGTCAAGTCAAGAAGAGTCAGTTTTCCTCCATGATGAAAATATTTCATATTTTGGGCCCTCTAACTTTATTTTGGATATGGATTTTGTAGATTCCAATCTAAGAATAACAGGGATTTTTTTACTGGAAAAGCTAGTCTTTGAAGTTCATTTTAAGACCCAAGAGTCTGCCTTGCCTGCCTGGCTGCCTTCCTGCCTGCCCATCACCAAAGCCATGGGCTGCTACAAGACAAACAGAAACTAATAGCAAGATGCTTTCTCTCTAATCCCACCAGACATTTATCTTTGTGTGATAAGTAACTTCAGCATGAAAACAACAGGGGAAATGATCATTCAAAAGAAGACCCCATTAATCTCTCTGATTCGGTAGCCAGGCTCTCCCAGGCTGAGCGTTGATCTGAATGCAGCTGTAGTGCAGATGTGAGGATCTGCCATAAATCAAGGTGCTAGCAACCAGCCCTTTGCAAGTAGAGCAGGTTGGCTCTTTTTTTCCGCAAATCTAAGGGGGAAGCGTCAGATATTTGAATTGGGTCTAAATGACTAAATGTCTTCTGGGTACCAAACCACTCTCTCTCATCCCTACCTAGTTTCTACATACATATAGGAAGGAGAGTTGTTCCAGGTTCCTCAAAGCAGGCCTTGGATGGCATTCCAGAAGGGGCTCTTCCCTTCCTGAGAGCTCAGTGCTCAAGAGTCTTGGTCCACTTGCCTTATGGGAGTACACAGTCTCCTGCTGGACCAGACGATCAGCACAGAGCAGCCTGTGTCCCCTCTCATGAGCCAGAGGCTTATGAAACAGATTCCATGCTTAGAAAGCTGAGCAGCTGCCCCTAAAGAAGCAGGGACTATCAGAACAGCGACTGCGCCTCGGAGTGGCATTTGAGTATGAGTAAGGGTTACCACGGTTGGTGGCTGCTCTAGTAAGAAGTGTCCTCCCTGAAGATGCTAACGTACTCAGATGATTTGGGGACAGAAATAAAATAGATGGGCTGCCATAGCTATCAGTGCATGTGCTGGGATTTGATGACTTTGCAGTTGTCTTTTGTAACTTCTGAGAATGCACAAAGCATTGATGTCTGAAAAGTGCTGACAGCTTCATGTGTTTTCTGACCCCGACAGCAGTGCACATTCCCCTTCTTCCGCTCCACTCGAGCGCCCACCCTCATCCCTTCACAAGCTTGCCTTCCCTTTCTGTTTACCTTGTCATCGTTCTGATCTAGTCCTTCTCAAAACCATGTCTCACGTTAGCCATTTCTTTTTGTCAATTATCTCCCAAAAATCCAGGTCTGGTAAGTGTGTCCATCCTCCACGGCCGTCCAGTCTCATTGTGAATGCAGTGTTGTCCTCCTACTGAACCTCTTGAGGATACAAGTGCCCAAATTAGAATAAGCAGCTTAGTGTTTCTTCAAGAGTTAGCCACTGTTAGAACGGGATACAAGTCCAAATTTTTATAATGTAGAAACTACAGTACAATTTTGTTTATCGCTTTAGATGGTTACTATTTAATGGTAGCAAAAGCATGCTCTGTTTCAGTTACACATACCCTGTGAGGTCACCAGCTTACATAACGCAAAAGTAAATACAAGACATCTTCATGTTTGATATGTAAAGTTAATCTCATGAGAATGCTCTAAGAAAAAATTAGAGGAATTTTTGTATTACATCTTTCCAAACATGGCAAGGGAGCCATGGAAGACATTGGAAAAAGGTCATTGGGTTTTGTTTGCATAAGGCTTTAAACTACATGATGATGGAAGGCATGAAAAAAGTCTATCGACAGAACACTTGGAATGATTATTTTCAACACCCATGGCAGCACATGGGCTGATGGCTGTGATATATACAGATTTGATACAGATTAATAAGCATAATACGAAGATCCCAGCAGGAGGAGGGGAACAGCGAGTGTGAGGACCCAAATCAGGAAGAACTCCATCTGACCTACAAGTGTGTGATAGTGTGTCTACTCCATTTAAATAATAAACAGGAAATACATTTGTCCAATTTCGTATACTCTCCGTTGAACATTAAATTTATCTGATTTTGTATGATTTCTATAATGTATAATTTGACCAGTGCTATGGAGAAATGTGTAGATACATAGACTCTTGGTAGGAAGTATATGTTGCCTCTTCTGTAGGCAAGTTGAGACTACCCACAACAATTTAAACATTGGCTGTTGAACCTATTCTAAAGGTCTATCAACTAATAATACTCCCAAATTGTAGGCCCATATTTCGGTATGGCACAAGAGCCATTAGCCCAGCCTGAGCTGATCACCTAACTCTGCAGACAAGCTGTCTCTGTTTATCAATAGCCAGGATGTACTGCTCCTAGTTTCTTTTGTTAGAATGTATATCACCTGAGAAGAGGTGTTGGCTGAAGCTGATGACTTAAGAGTTTAGAGGTTTGGTGCTTCCTTCCTTTGTAATTTGGAGGATGTCTTATAGAGATGCTAATTCATGGCCTACCTGACTACTAGCATACAGGTAGATGCGCGGACGTGACCAGGGCCCATGCACCTGGTTGCCTAGGAGACAGCCTAATGTGTTTTCCCGCTCTATTGATGTGAGGATATATAAGCTGTTTGGAGAATAAATGAGGGATCTTTGGAGAGAGATCTGGCCTTTCCATGATGACCATGTAAGCTGTGTCAGTTTAATTCCTCGCGACTCCATTCCAGCAGAGTTAGGGAATCTGTGTTGGACCCACACGGCCCCAACACCAAATGCATAACATAAGGTACCACATCTCACTTTTTTATCTCCCAGTTGTCTTTAGTTCATTCCAGACCTATGACCAAGAGAGTTACACATCTAGAGGTTTGTATTCAATATGTATAAGCCTTGGAAGAAGCCAAAAACCACAAAATGAAACTCATGTTCTCGGCTAGAAGCAGCTGTCCCATCACCGACTGTGAAAAGCATTAAATCAATGCCAAGCCCAAACTCTCAGCTTCATGTGTGACTCACCCAGAAAGTTAATTTGACTCAGAGTAAGACAGAATGGTCCCAGGTTGCCTGCTGATGGGGCTGTTTGTATGCTGAGGGTTGAAACATCTCGAGATCCTGAGCCTGGCTAACTGGGTGCACGTAGTCACCATTGTCTGAAGTTGGTAGCCTTGAAGAAGAGGTGGAAATATAGGGGCTGCGTTAGGAAGTTTATCTTCAATGTTCAGTCTCTCGTCAAGTTGTAACTGTAACAATGCTTTCAGAATAAATATAAGTACAAAAGGATTCAAAGTGAAGCAGCCTTCCCACTTTTTCCTTGGTAACTACTTCTAGGTGGTTCAGTGGCTAAGAGTACTGCTTTTTCTTCCAGAGGACCTGAGGTCAATTCCTAGCACCCACATGGTGGCTCATAACCCTCTGGAGCTCCCATTCCAGAAGTGATTCCCCCTCTGGACTCTGTGGGTGCTGCGTGCATGTGGTACATGCATGTTTAATCAAATACTCATGTAATGCACATAAAATAAAAATAAATAAACTCTCCAAAAATAAAACCAAGGGAACTGCAGCTGCCTCTGGGTCACAGGCCAGTTATTATTTATTACTAATATTTCTTCTTGCCGGGCGGTGGTGGCGCACACCTTTAATCCCAGCACTTGGGAGGTGGAGGCAGGTGGATCTCTGGGAGTTCGAGGCCAGCCTGGTCTACAGAGTTAGTTCTGGGACAGGCACCAAAGCTACAGAGAACCCCTGTCTCAAAAAAAAAAAAAACAAAAAAAAAAAAAATTTCTTCTTGCATCATTTTCCTCCTGGATTTAATGGGCCATGATCCTCTGTGGTTTTTTATTTCCTCTAAGAGCCTTCTGAATTTTTCACACCGCTCTACAGTGCTCATGTGCCTCTGCCCTCCTGTGGCACGCGTCCAGCCCCTCCTGTAATATCCTTCTGCTGTTCTCTCGGTATTTCCTTCAAATACTGTAGTTGCTCCTGAAGTCCCTTGGCCCTTCTCACCCCTGAAATCAAATTTAATTATCCATTCCTTTGTGTTCACAGAGTAAATTGCTCAGACCCCAATTAAAGACCTATATTTTATACTGGCTACAATTACATCAACTCATGCTCCCTAGAAGGTTTCGGCCCCCCTAAAAGGCTATTGCAATTTGGCTCTCTATGAAACTGGCGCTGGAGAGTTGGAGACTTTAAGGAGGAAAGGGGAAGATAATTTTAGAAGATTCCAGGCACTTAGCTGCAATCAGAAATCATCCGGCGTAAGCAAGTACTCATTGCATCTTGCCATTTCAACACCTTCCGTCCCACCGCTTTATTCAGGTGCCACTTTGCTCTTGTCTAGGGGCATCCCGGAAAATTACTGGCACCCACCAGAGGGCAATCGGGATTCTTTATAGTGGCTTCATTCAAACATCTTCTGCCCTCAGCCCGCAGTGTAGTGCCGATGTAAAAGATTCCCCTAAACGTTTTTTTCTGGAAGCCTTCCCTCTGCTTTTTCTACTGCCTGGGTCCTGTTAGACACTTAATAAGTCCTTATTGAATGACTGGCTGAAAATGGGAAATGCCAGAAGGGAGTACTGAGTTCTGTTCTGAGCCCAGTAGGATACTATAGTGGTTCAACAATGGTGCTCAGGCCAACAGCTGCTCGCTGCTTGCAACCTCTGTGGCAGGAGGCAGTTATGGAGTTGCCCACCTTCTATTCCTGGAGGCTTTGTCATTTCCGACATTTGGAGTATGGGCGCTATGGGCTTTCTGACATTTAATGCATATTTTTGTTTTTTAGGGGTAGATAAGAGAACTCATAGTTCTTTTATGAATTTTTTTATGAATTAGTATTTACTTACATTTTGCAAGAAAAGAGGAGCAGGGTCTGTAATTTTTACCAAATTATTAAAGGGTTGAAGCTAAACCACAGTTATAAATATCTATATGACTCAGGCTGGGGCTACCTGGCGGTGGGCACTGAACCCCTCTGTGAAGCCTTTGCTTAGTATGTGTTGCTGGAGCCTTACCCTCGCATGAACGCTCACATGTTCTTTGGCACAGCTCTGTGCTCCTCAGTCCTCTCTTTTGGAAAATATACCAAGTACCAAATGGCCACAGATCATAGTGGGGCCTGAAAGAAGAATAAGACATCTCTCAATCCTCCAGAAGGCGATATGAGTACAGGAAACATTCCTCTGCCTCTGACATATTTAAATCATGGTTTAAAACTAATCCATAGAGTCGCAGCATTCATGACTCATTGCCAAGTAGAACTTATGGGCCAGCCTCAGCAGGAGGCTTTGGCTGCTCTGTGGTTGAAAAGCCAGACTTAGGATGCATAACAAACATACAGATTTGCGATGCTGGCCTGAGGCACGGATAGACACAGCTGTTACCTGATGTCACCTGGATTCTCGTCAGAATCTTCCTCCTCTGCACCGTCTTTAATATCTATTCCCGGATTTCTATCCCCAGCCTAGACCTGTCATGCATACATGTCCACACGAATGGTTCAAAGTCTGTATCCATCCTTAAATGCATCCACACCCATGCCATCCCCTTTCAACAGGGGATGATCTTTTGAGCGGGGCCCAAATGGGGTAACTCCTCGCCTCCTCCATTCTGCTGGTCCATTGCAGGCCGGTGTCTCCATCCGCTCCCCTTACCATTCTCTTCTTCTCTTGCTGCCTCCCACTCCCACTTTGGTCTGAGAATTTGACTCGGTTCCATCCCCTACACAACAGCTTTAACCACTGGGCTCTACCATACTTTCCAGTGGTTTCTCTGCTTCCTTTATTAACCCCTACAATAAAATTAATGTCCCACCTGCCCATCAAGAGGGTATTTTTATTAAACAAATGAGATTTTCTTTTTATTTCCACACCCAAAAGTTTCAGTTTCCTTATTGGCTGTATCCAGTCTTTCATCTTGATGTACAGAATCAAGTGCAAAGGAGCCCATGCCAGACACTCTAGACACCAGAGACCGCGCAGGGACTTAATCCAGGCTCTACTCCCGAATTCATGTCCTGACTGGTCCTTTATAGTTTAGATCTCTCAGGCTTGTCAGCATCTCTTTCCTCAGACATTTTGAATGACTTTGTGGAACTTTCTCCCCCCTGACAAAGCTTCTTCTATGAGCATTGTTTGTTTTTCTCATAGTTGGTGTTTTCGATTGATATATTTTATTTTGTTCAGTTCCTCCGTTCTTCCACACCCAGTCCAGAGTCTTCCCTTTCTGAAGTCAGTGCCTGGCCCGTCTGCTAGCCACAGCATCATCAGTGTGTTAGTCAGCGTGTAAAAGCAGCCAGCAGGTGTACAGAGGCCACTCGGTCCTGTTCTTGGCCGGTGAGCATGAGCAGTACCCAGAAGGCCCTGTAAGTGTCCTTGGAACCGTGCAGACATGTCACCTCGCAGAGCAGAGGGCAGCATCAGTTAGTTAGACAGGTGACCCCAGATCTGAGGAAGAAGCAGAGTCTGAGGTCTTTTACATTTGCTGGGCTGACATGCTGCAGTCCAGATCACAGAGCGGACAGGAAGGCGACTTGTCCTTTGTCCTGGACTCACCTCTACGATACCACTCATCCTAGCTGAGAGCTCAGTTATGTCCCATCCTACTTACCCTGCTGGACAGGGACAGCATCTGAGTTACCAAGGAGACCCCCTGCCCAGGTCATTCTGGGCGCGTTCGGAACCACTCTACAGGTGTTACGAGTGTGAAAATGAAGGGGCAGATGAATGTTGGGGAGCGATCACACGTTCCACATTCTACTCGGGAGGGTTCGGGATGGAGAGCTAAGCTAGGAAGCTGCCATGGAGGGGGCTCCGCCACGGTCCTCCCTGGCTGCTACGGATGCAGCTGGTTCCTTGCGTACTCAACCTGCTCAGCCTCGGAAGAGCGAGCCATCAGTGAGAGGGTTAAACAGAACCTGCCTGAGTCTGGTGACGCCAGCCACTGCAGTGATTAATATACATGGCAAATGTTCCCTTGCCAAAGCTCAGGTGACTCAATCTAAATATTCTTTCAGAGAGGTCTTCTTAATTATAATGACATGGTGTAAATATAAGAAAAAAAAAGAATGTCAATTATCACTCTGTATAATAACAGTGCCAGTGTTCCTGCACATAAATTACAAGTAGGTTTACCTATTTAGAAGCTTGAAAAGTGCTCGGTTTTGCAATTTAAAACTTCTGAATATGCCGCATTTAAAAATTATGTCATTACAACCAGTAGAAGTTAGTAATCACCACTAAAGTGTGTGCTCTTGAGAGCCTGATGAACTATCACAGAAAGCCATTTTTAAAATCACTTGAAAAGCAAAATTTTTAAAGGCACCTATGTTCCATTTATTTTCAAACATTCCAACCTCATCCAAAGAAAGAATGCCTGTTCCGTGACAAGTATGGTGAAGATACCTCGGGTTACGCTCGCTGGGGGACAGCTGCTGGTCACTCATAGCAATTTAAAATCTCAATTTGATTTGATTAAAGTTCAATGAAATTTCCAATTCCTAGTGTCCATAGCTGCATTTCACATTCTCAGTGGGCCCCATACAGCATGTGGCCAGTGTGCTGATTAATAGGGGATAGAAAATTTCCACCATGACAGACAGCTCTGTTGGACAATATTGCTCTGAAAAATGTCGGGGACTCCGACCCATAATAGCTGTCCATTTGCAGCACCAAGACTTACTGGCATGTGTCTCGGGTTTATTTCTGGAGCAGACATTGTCAGCCACATGGATGGAAATACTTCAATGTAGCCTTGTTTGCGGAATACAAGTACCCTATTCATGGCCAAATCAGATAATGGCCAAAGATTAGAGATGAGGCCGCTATTCTTGCCAGTGCCTATCAGTCTGAGCCAGTTGCCAGCTTGGATTTTTTTTTCCCAAATCAGCTAGTAGAATACACTAAAATCAACCAATTTCCCTCTATCAGATCACAGTGAGCCTATCCTTTACATTCTAACCTACTGGCTTTAAGTTCCTCCCACTAGACAATAACAAACAACTCGAAAGTTTGGGCTAGGTTCTTCTGCATCGTCACTGGACTCGAGGCCGGAAGCATCTAGCCTTCGAAGCGTTTCTCCCGACAAGTCTGACGCCCTCCGCCCCCGCCCCCCGTCAGAGGGCGTGTTGGCTAGAGATGAGGTCAACATCTGTCTCCTCTGCAGTCATCGTCATGTCCTTTTTCCCTTTGCAGATCACCTACAAAGCAGTCAGCTCCTTTGACCCAGAAATTGATTTATCCAACCAAAGCGGAAGAGTTTCCAAGCTGGGAAATGAAACCCATTTCCTGTTCTTTGGCCTGTATCCTGGAACCACGTACTCCTTCACCATCAGGGCCAGCACAGCCAAGGGCTTCGGACCTCCGGCAACAAACCAGTTCACCACCAAAATATCAGGTATTGGATACTGACGAGCTGATGCTTTTCATCAGAACTAGCGCTTCGTGCCGTTTCATTGCCCTTGTCAGGAGTGCAAAGATAAAATATAATGATGGATTTTATCATCACAACTGTGATGATAAAATAAAAAAAACAGACTCAGAGGCTAAAATAAAATGCTGTGTGTATTTAGCATAGCCCTCCTGTATTAGTGCATGGCCAGCGTTTTAGCAGCTTGCTCTGAAGGATTTGATTATAAAACAGGAGGCTCTGGTGAGGCCCTCTAGTGCCCTTGGCAATCCTTGGTCACCAGAGCAGCGGTGCTGGAGAAACTCTGACATAAACCATGAACTCGGCAGAAAAGCAGCGCGGTGCTCTGCTGCCCTTTGTTTGCCATCCTGCATTAGCAAGGACGTTCATGGCATCACACACTCAGCAGCTCCAGCTTTTTACAGACCCAATTAGATCACCCAACAAAAGATATGATTTGAGGAATATTTCTGGCATGTTCATCTGTGCAGAAGATGCCCGCACTCCTCAGACAGGAGGAAATGAAGTTGCCATCTGGTATAGGATGTGTAACCATAATGAACAGAATTCCATGAACATTTTCTTTTTTCTTCCTTCCTTGGCTACGAGTGGCGAAATATTTGGGTTTTTGCTTGAACTTTTTGTAGTGTGTTTTGTTTGCCATTTTTCTGTCATTATACCAAAATACTGGAGGGAGGGAGGGAGAGAGGGAGAGAGAAGGAGGGAAGGGGAGAGAAAGAGAGACCACAACTTGAAAGAGGAGAATTTTATCTTAGCTCACAGTTTGGAGGTCTCAGACCGTGGTTGGTTGGCCTCATTGCTCTGGATCTGAGAAGATGCTACACATCTTGACGAGGAGTGTGTGACAGAACACAACTGTCATCTCTTGGTGACTGGAAAGCACAGAGAATAAAGGGAAGATGCTGGGACAAAATGTCCCCTTCGAAACCTCTCCCTCTGTGACTTACCAGTCCGCAAAGGCTTACTGCTGCCTCCTAATAGCCCATTCAGATTTTAACTCGTCAGTCAATCGGTCCTTTGCTAAGATTTGCAGGTTCCTGATCCCCTCAGAACACACTGGTACCATATACTGCCAGCCAAGCTTTCAATATATCAGTGTTCTGGTGATATGTTTATATTCAAGGCATAACAGCTATACAGAAACAGGGGGACAACAGACAAGTTGACCAGCTCCAAGGGCCAGCTCGGTGACATCCAGCATGGTTTCTGTACTTACGATCCTTCATCCTTGGTTTTGTAAAAGGTTTTGTTTGAAACAGAAGGAAATCAGTGTTCAAAACTAGAGTGTTTTAAATGTTCTAGTAGGCTTAAAGGGAAAAGGGATTTTTCAAGAAATTATAATGTAAGAGACGTTTTATATGCCATGAGGTTTTTTTATGTGTGCCCAAATTTGACTCGAAGTTTAATATATATCATTAGGCTATAGGGACAGAGCAGGGATGGAAAGTAAGTTTTCCTTGGGAGGTTAAAACATGGCATAAATGAACAAATCAATTCTTAGAACAGTTATGGAATTGGAAAAGAAAGGCTGCATACTGGGATGATCTTTAATGTATTTCCTCTGATATTGACTATATCCCTACTAATAAATTACCTATTATATCAATTTCTCGTGGTGACTCAAAGAGGAAATCTATGCCAATGTGTATTACTTCCAAGTAAGCTTTCTTATTTTTTCTCCAGTAGAGAACATATTTCTGTATTATCATAAGGGAAAAGTTCCATTAGAAAAATAATTAAGCTTTTCCACATATTATATAAAAATTCCAATGAATATGAGTCTGGACACTTCAAGTTCATATAATTCTATTCCAAAGCAAAGAAACTTGACATTTCAGTTGCCCTATACAAGCTCATCAAAAGTAATGATTTGACTTTTAGGATATTAAGACAATATTGCTATGCTTGGTTCCCAGCTACTTGGGAGGCCTTGGCAGTTTTGCTTAAGCCCAGGATTTCAGGGCCAGCCTCAGCAAACACAGCAAGACCACAGCTCGTGCAAGAGGCGATGGGAAGGGAGTTAGATTACAGTTCCTGAGCCCTGTTTTCTATCTAAGAGAGAAAACTGCTTGTACCCAGCACACAATTGATTGCTGTGAAGTAAAGTTAATTCTTAATGGAATTAGAATTGATTTTGAATGCTTAGAAAATTTTTATAGATGTGACTGATAAATAACTCGCAATTTTTACATAAAAGGTTTTTCCTGTGTAAGACAATTGAGAAGTCTGCTCACAGAAAGTGATCTATAGGCACCTCTGCCTACATGTGGTTGGGACTGGCAGCTCCCCATTTGCCGTTCCATGTCAAAGGGAGTCTGCGAATCTGGGAGAGGGGTGGGTGTTGAAATACAGTTGCTAGGCTATGCAGAGACACCATTTCTATGAAAGAGAGAATGCCAGACATGACTCATAGCTGGAAACTGTTGCCAGCTGGGGCAGGAAGAATTTTTCTTTTCACTTCTTTTTAACCTCTGGTCACTAGTAGATTTTTTGTGGTCTGGTGATGGGCCCACACCCATATATATATGGGCAGTACTAACTGAACTTAGTAGGTTGTTAAAAACGAAAAAAGAAAAAGGAAGGAAGGAGGAAAGGGAGGAAGGAAAAAGAGGACTTAAAGTTGGGAAGGATTTGTGGGAGTTGGAGAGGGGTGTAAGGAACTAGATTTGACCATGTTTCATTTTATAGAAGTCTAAAGTTCTCAAGAATAAAGAAAAACCCTTTAAAACATTTCCTTGTTAGGAAGAACTCGATTGTTTGGAGATCTGTCTTCCTGAACTGCCATACTTCATTGCCTAGATTAAAGCTTCAGAGAGGATTAATGTATCTCCTTTTCCTTTTGCGTTTTTTTTTTTTATTCAAAGTCTTATATAGCCCAGGCTGGCCTCAAATTCAGTATGTAGCTGAGGATTGCCCTGCTCATTTTGCCTCTGCCTCCTGAGTGCTGTGATCACAGGCCTGTGTCACTGTGCCCAACTTTGATGATGCTGGAGATTGAACATGGTAGTTTGTGTATGATAGGTAAACATTCTACCCACTGATTTACACCCCAAGACTGAATGTACCTACACCCGGTACTGAAGAAAATGAAACACAAGAGAAAGTCGAACCCAAGCTGTTTGCACTTCCTTCATTTCCCATGTGTTTCCCACTGCCCTGCTTTCCCCAAGCGTCCACTACAGCAGGTCTCTCTGGCTCCCAGCATCCTCTTTAAACTCCTGGATGGGTCTCTAGTCCATGCAGAAACTTGACTTTAATGAGAGGAACATGGCATTCAGGTGACTACTTCAAAACGTCTACATGTCTTATAAGGCACGCTGTTTCCATTACGGAGTACATAGTCTAAGATGGTGTGTTGCCAGAGGCATACTATGAGCAGGTAGGTGGAACAGAACTGGAAAAAGTGATCATCACTAACACCTCAACAGCTCCTTTTGCTTCTTTCCGTCATCAGCTCAGGATCAGAGGCGTGGCTTGACTTGAGCAAATGTCCCCGCTATTTTGTGTCTGGAATGTTTGTGTGTCAACCTTGGGTGTGTTGAACTGATAACTATTATTTGATCTCTGTCCCTTGTCAAAGAAGTAAAAAGCCACTAAGGAGATAAGCAAGAAATAATGGGTCTCCCGTCTAATCCTTTATCCCTAGCGCCGTCCATGCCAGCGTATGAATTTGAGACACCTTTGAATCAGACCGACAGTACGGTGACAGTGATGCTGAAGCCTGCCCAAAGCAGAGGGGCACCTGTCAGGTAAGGGGCAGAGGGAGGGCCATGCTGGCTCCAACAGAAGGAAGCGCCAGTCATGTTGGCTAATTTCTCCAGTGTTCTCTAGGGTTTTCCACGCCACCTCCTCATTAGCTCTCTTTAAAGGATGGGACTGAGAAGATGAGGGGCCTCCATGGAAGTGTATATAAAGGCCGTGTACGCCACTAAAAAAGGAGTTGTTCGTTGGATGCTGGGGAAAAGCTCCAGTCTCCTGGCCAGGTGGCTTGATTCTCAAATCATAACTGCCTCCTGCAGTTCAGGTACCCAGGGCCAGGGGACATAGCTTCCTGAGCTTTAAATGAGCTGGGTTTCTCAAGAATATTTCAAAATTGACCCAATTCTCAAATGTATATTTAATATCTGATTTTTTAACAGGAAAGCAAATTGTTAGGAAAAAAATCATGATGTCTTTGTTTGAAATTAAGATTATTACTAACATCTAGGTCCAATTACTCATTCCATGATGATTTATATCAACAGAAAAGTACAAAGCAGGAATATTACAGTAAATGAATTAAAAAGCTGGTTATTCTTTCTAGGAAGGTTACAAGATAATTCCAGGAGTGGACCTATCCTAAGGTCATATAGATAGTCTGTATGGATGAAATTTATTCTTGTTTCAGTGGGATTTGGCTATTTTGCCTCTGCTTATCTGAACAGACACCATTCCATCAACCTCGTCTTCTGGCTAGCACTCCCCACGGAAGCATCTCCATCCTCAGCGCAGGCTGTGTGCACTTGGCCTCTGGGCTCCTTTGGGAGAAGTTGGTCCAATGAGCCTTTGAAAACCCGACTGTATAAGATCACATTTCTACTTCCATGTCACTTGGCAAATAGTTGGGCTTTGTTCTGCTTGGCAACACACATAAACACAGCATGCACACACTGATGTACAGATACATGCACACACACACACAGGTCAAGGTTCATGAAGGCAAAGGTCACAGAAGTAGTATTAGTTGACTAGAGTTGTGGAGTTTATATTCAAAACATCTTGAGAATTGTGTCAAAACAATTGGTATTCTGTTCTGTTGAATAACATCTCATCGTCCCTCTTTGGGTCAAAGGAACAGTTAGCTAGAACAGTGAATACAGACACATTTTCCTTAGCATCTGTGCTGTTGCCACGGGGGTGGAGGGTGACTTGACACTCTGTGGCCCCCTAGGCTGAGTTTTGCACACTGTAGAGGTCTGATAATTTAATAAGCCCAAAGCACATATTTCCCAGGTGCTGTCCAGGACACGTGTATTCTTACAGCCACAGGTCAGGCATTTTTTCATTTCAAAATCCTGAATTTCCATCCACTGAAAATGTATGCTCTGACCGCAGCCTCGGGAGCAGCACCTACTTTCTGACCAAACTAGCGATGTTTTCAGACTCAGCGATACTGAGCAGAGTTCTGTATATTCTGAGAATTATCACAATCAGAGAGTCAGTGGTCACCAAGCTTTCTACTCTTTTGTCTGTGAGCACACACACACAATTGAATATTTATGAGAGTTCAATGCACAGCTTATACCACAGACCTTATGTTAACATCATAAAAAAAAAACCATTTCTCTTAAATACGAGAAAATAAGCATTTCCACAGTGGTCACAAAACCATCAAGTTCAAAAGCGCCCTGACCGCTGTGGAAACCCAAATCTTCTCTCCAAGTTAACTGGAAGGATGCACTGTTCAAAGGAGCAGATTGTCTCGGCACACATGTGAAAGGGGAAATGGTCACAGCCTCACCTGGCAAGGCTTTAGTCTTCTTTCTTTCCTGACAGTAAATGTCCCCTCTAAGAGACTCACTGTACAGAACCGCACAGTGGACTGATTACCCATTGAAAAGATAGAAGACCCACGTATCTACAAAGACTGCCCTGGGAGACAATTTCCACAGTTCCCTCCAAATGAATAGGGTTTGTTAAGCCCTCAATTTCCTTTAATGTTCGGAGAACTAAGAACTCTGATTGAGAAATCATATGGACCTCCACTATAACGCCATTGTGTAGATTAAAACACTGAGCACATCTGGAAATTTGCAAAATGCACACGGAATCATCCAACTGCCATACAAAACTCACCTCCCAAATGATAGAACAAAAGCTGGAATTGGGACAGGAAAGGAGTAAACATCTGTTTGCTTTCCTGGTTTCAACAGTATTGTGTTCAAAAACACCATCATCGTGTGAGCTCCTAGATGCGTTCCTTCCACTGATTTGACTTTTTTTTGTTGTTGCTCCATATTCATCGGTGTTGGAACTCATTTCTCCTTCGCTTGTACACTTCCTTGGGTGAGTTCGTGGTATTGATCTCACTATCAACTCTCGGCTTGTTTAAGACAGACTCCTGAAATTGCACATAGCTCTCCATGTAAATGACTGTTGTCTTTTTATTGACCAACACATCAGCTCTGTCACATAAAATTATTAAAATCCAGAGATGGCTAAGAAGAACAAAAATCCCATCATTCCAGCCAGTAAGCTAGTGCCAGGGATAGCATTTAAATGTCTATGTATGGATTCGGTTTTCCTCTTAATAGGACAGGGAAGGGCTTAATTTTCTTTTACTTGGTTAGCGTTGTCTCTTTTATGCCTTCTCTCCATCACTCATTCTGTATAGACATGATCCCATAGAGAAAAATCCTTGAGATTTGGCAGAAAGGAAGCAACTAAATAAGGATGAGTTGTATGTAATCTGTTACAGTTTCCTTGTGCTATCAAGAATGCTTTGTGCTGTGTGTGTGCATATATATGTGTGCATACTTGTGTGCACGTGCATGTACACATGCATGTGTTCATGTTAAAGGAAAGCAGAATGAATGAATTAATGAGTGAATGAATGAATGAATGAAATTTCTGCCCTGGCAATGCTAAAGCATGCATTGGCAGCTCATATATGGCGGTTCTATTGAACTTGTCTATATTGGGTTTCATGGTCTAAGCTGGTGAGAATGACTGACCAGGTCTCTTCCTCAAGAGGGCACCAGATCTCGTTACAGATGGCTGTGAGCCACCATGTGGGTCCCAGGAATCGAACTCAGGACCTTCGGAAGATCAGGCGGTTCTCTTCACCACTGAGCCATCTCTCCAGCCCTAAGGGAAAGCAGGCAGTGAAGGAATTGAATCTATTTTCAGAAAACATGTCCCACTTCCTGAAACTGGTTTGGCGTTGGCACTATGTGAAAATAGTTTCTCTGACTTCTTCTGCATGCCCCCAGCTAGTCAGCAGACACTGGTGTCTGCTAAGGAGAGTCAGCACACGCAGGCCTGTCACCTCGGAGCAGAGACTCAAGGGCGTGGCAAGTATCAGTGGAATAAAAGGATAGGCAGGCACCCTGCTTGAAGATGCTTCCTCTGCTAGAAATGGTGTTGTTGCCATATAGATGATGATGGTTAAGAACATGGAGATTGAGAAGTATAAGCAGGTTATTTTTACAGCAGTTTTATGGCAGGAATAATTGCCTTTCTATTTGTCTCTCTACGGCTCTGAAAGACCCTTTCATTCCATCAATACTGTCTTTTTGGTACGCATAAGAGCATCAACATCATGGGTTCTTCTGAGGGTTGAGTGAACTAGTGTGTTTCAACATGCTTCAGACCTGTCCAGAGTAGTCTGTCCATACCAAATGCTACATGGCGTTTGCGCTTGCTTTGCTTCTACAGACCAATCAATGATCCAGGCCATGTAGACTCCCCTTGTCCTCTAGCCTTTCCCCTGTCTTTTTTTACTCCAACCCGAAATGATGAAAAATAGAATTTTACACAAACGCTGAGCATCTGACAGTTGTATCCATCGGCAAAATTATAAATACAATTTCTGCAGTTCTCAATTCTTCGATGCACCTTAATATTTGGTGGCATGTGGCTCTTTGCACATGGACAAGTGATTGGGACTTGATCTCATAAGGAACCAATTCTCCTGGTTCCATCTGTACATAACAGCTCTCAGGCAAAGGCAGTCGCCTCTCCTGGTTCTCCCGCAGCCACCACCTAGCTATGGCAATCATCTTCTCTGTCGCATAAACTCAGCTCCGAAGTAAAGGAAACTGCTTGCTGACCTCTGCAGGACAGTCAGCTCCACTCTGAAGCGACCCTGGGAAGAGTGACTCAGGAGCAGGTGGTATTTATTCTTGTTCTTTACCTCAGTGAGTCACTTCCCAGCTTCCGTAAATCCCATCCCTTTGGGATTCCTCTTTCTATTTATGTTGAAATTCATTCCCCACATTCTGGAGTTTTGTCTTTCCATCGAACTTGAGTTAAACTCCAGGTATGAGGAGCCAGTTTGATAGCAACTTGAAAATGTGATTTAGTTCTTATGATTGACTCACATAGGTGTGCATCTCCGATTGTGCGGTCTTACTGAGTCAGCTGGGTGTGCAGTCAGACTCATCTGTGGCCACATTCTCCTCCTCACACATTCCGGCTGCTCGTGAGATGCTTACCAAGTCGGTGTCTGCTAGAAGATAGATCCCCTGTGGCTTAGAGAGATGCTGGCGTTCATGTCACTGCCATGAACTTTGCCGCTGGAGGTCAGACTGAGTCATAGTTTAAACCCCATACCAAGGCTCCGTCTCTGGCTGAGATGCCTTCCAGTCTGCTCATTGGAGTGCAGGTACTCACAAAGATCAAAAAGCCATTCTCTCCTTAAACCTCTTTCCTGATGCCAGAATTCTCTTGTTTGAACAACATTCATGATAGCAGAATCTCTTCTGTGTGTGAGCAAAAACTGATAAGTCCCTCCCACCACCTCCCTCTGTGCTTTTTTTTTGGGAGTTTACTAATATTAAAGAGGACACTCTGGATTCCTGTGTGCTGCCAGGGGTCAAAGGTCCCTGATGCATTTTGGATGATCATGTTCGTCACCTTTTTGAAAATTCATTTTCTAAACAGTTTGTTCGCCCAAGAATCCTTTGTAAGAAGCTTTCAAATGGCAGGAAGAGATGATGATAATAACAATAATCAATAATAACACTAATTAATAACAATAATAATTAAC